GCCATTTTCTTTTCTGTTCGTAGTAATTAAATACGTGCGTTTAATTTTTTTTTTCAAATGACAAAAGATTTATTTCAGCGAAAAAGGAGAAAGAAAAAAAAATAAAATGAAATTTTTCTCTTTTTCTCTTGTATCGAATCGAGCTGGGTAACAAATACAACACTCGTTCAGACGACACCTGTTATATGATATTATTATACATAGAAGTATACATATGCATATACATAACTATAGATACATTGTGTGTGTGTGTGTGTGTATATATATATATGTGTTTGTGTGTATTATAATATAGACATTTTCACACTCAAATATTTTATGTGTGTGTGAGTGTGTAAGAATGGTTGATGTGTGTTTGTATTGTATAAACGTACATTTGTATGTATATACATGAACACATAATACATGTATATACACATATATACACACGCGCGCGCACACACACACACACACATATATATATATATATATATTGTTTGCACGTACATAGAATTATTTCGGTGGTCGACCAGAGTACAAAGCTTAGGTTTAGTTTGACCTCGGAGATAGTTCGTGGATAAAATCAAGGAAAACTAAATAAACAAAAAATAGAATTAAATTAAATTAAATAAATTTTAATTAACCATTGTTTTTGTCGTCGCTGGAAATTTTTTTTTTTTTTTTGGGTCAAATCTGGATGATATATTAGAGAACAAAAAGTGAAAGAGTAGAGAGAGAGAGAGAGAGAGAGAGAGAGAGAGAGAGAGAGAGAATTAATGAAAGATAAAACATTGAAAAAATTGATAATTTGATAAAGATTTAAAAAAAAATGAAGAGAGAGAGAGAGAAAGAGAGAGAGAGAACGTAATATTGAAGTCTCGTGACTACTTACAAAAAAGGTTATTTACTTTCTTTTATTTTTTATTTTTTTTTTTTTTTTATTTTTTTTTGTTCATAAAAAAGGAAAAATTAATTTTCTTGTAAGAATGAGAACCACGTTCTTTATCGTTGATAATAATGAGAACCCATGTTTCTTTGATTAAAGTAGTACTATCTCTTTCTCTTTCTAATGGTAGAAATCAGTGACGTCATAATTAAGAAGCAAGTTTTCCAAATTTTTAAATAAATACATGCATAATGTAATATATATACGCGCGTGCTCCCAACAAACACTCACACACACACACACCCGCGCGCGCATACAAACATACAACACGTACACACATACATACATACATACTTATGTATATATATATATATATATAAAAATAAAGGTGCATATATCCTTTTTGTCGGGGGAGAGGGACTAGCAAGAAGTCTATTTGATATTTATATTTTAATATACACACATGGACCGACCGATTGTATTTAGCGAACATATAATAATAATAATAATAGTAATTATTATTATTATTATTATTATTATTATTATTATTATTATTATTATTATTATATTGTAATTAACGATGTGCTCTAATTAATAAGTTGATCGATATATCGATATTATCGTTTCGCAATCTATTTCTCCGGTACCATCACATCACATCTATTAAGAATATCGTTTTGCAGATTATAAGATTTCGATAATATAAATTTAAAAAAAGTTAAATTGATCATTAACGTATCGAAAAAATTGTTGAGAAAGTATAAGAATAAAAAATAAATAAATAAACAAGTGGCCGGACGCGTTAGATTGCGAAACGATTTCGTATGATTCGATGGAAAATGAGGGAGACAAATTGTTGTTTTGTCACGACCGTATGTGACGTATTGATTATCGATCGACAGTGTAATGATAACAAAAATTGCAAAAAAAGAAAGGAAGAAAAAAATTGGACACACTATTACATTGTATATTATTGTAGCATAATAATCAAACACTAAAGACTAATGCTTAAGATAATTATCGAGTGGCTTTGGCCGCCATACTATAGATCAATTATATTATACGAGGTGTATTTGAAAAAAATTATTATTATTATTATTATTATTATTATTATTATTATTATTATTATTATTATTATTATTATTATTATTATTATTATTATTATTATTGTCATTATTAATTATCATTATTATTAACTATGATTATTAATTATTCCTTATCATTATCATCATTATTAATTATTATTATTATTATTATTATTATTATTATTATTATTATTATTATTATTATTATTATTATTATTATTATTACACAAGGACGATACGAAATAATTAACATGCTGAGATACCTTAGAATGATTGAAATAAAAATGCTAGTTAAAAAAGAAATGAATAAACGATTAATTAATTAATTAATTAATACATTTATGTAGTGGACAATGAAAATAAAAAAATTATATTAATGAGAGAGAGAGAGAGAGAGTGAGAAAGAGGAAAAGAAAGAAATGACAAAGATCGACTGTAATATCAAATTGTGTGTGTGTGTGTGTATGTGTGTGTGTTGTCAAATATTTGGTTCCATTTTATTTATATTATTAAAATGCCTATAATTCCAACTATATATATAAAAAAAAAA